CCGGGTTCGTAACAGTAATCCATGATTAGGTTATGTATTTCATTTTTGTTGGCTCCATGGGGAACATCTAGTTGATACTCGTGTGCAAGAGTTTGTAATTCAGTCCTCTTGGCACGACATAAGGTCCCTATTTCACCAGCTGGATCGTTACGGAAAGCTTGGAGACGAAACATAGTGAAAGATAGCAAATAAATGTACACGAATATAGTTGTGATATGGTAAATGTCAGAAACAGGACAACGTGGCAACTGGTAACTATCCTGTGGAATTTTAATCTTTAACAATAAACGTTAATTATAGGATGGTAAATGATTAGTCAATCAAAGTCGCAGGAAATCTTGTACCTGGTACTCAATGTAAGAGAATAAGGGCAAGAAAATCCTACTAAATAAAGTGAAACTGAGTTTCTAAAACAAATGAAACATTTAATAGCTCCAAAAGTGAATTAGGTAGTCCAAGAATGTAGGCATACTTTGCCAAGTCTCTATAGGACATAAGCAAGGGTTTCCCACTAAATGAATATGATACTTACAGAATTAGCGAACTTTGTGCTCAGTAAAAAGAAAGCTAATTCCCTACCTAAGTAAATATCATCATCTCTGACCGACGTGTAGGGGTGCGAGTGTCAACTGGTGACGAGAACTGCTGCTGAGGTCCCAACTCAGTAACTTAGTGCGTGCTTGAGGAACTATGGCCCTCTTATCCTCCTTCGGTCAGATTGCAGAAGATAGGGTGGTTTGACCCGAAGACAAACCAAAGTACCAGGGGTACCACAATGATGATCTGCCGATAATATAAGAAATATCCTAGAGACAAAAGGTGGTAAACACGAGTAATAACACGGAGGGAGAGATGACCAATTAAGAGAATGACCGAGGCCTACAGTCACCACGTAATCCAAAGTTATCTCACACTCACCATATGCTACTCTCGGAATGCACAATAAACACAGCACCATATAAATATGAAAATTAATGATAATATTGAAAAGCAACTTTAGCAAAGCGAAGTACGCTTACCACAAATTGACGTTCTGGTACTAGTACCTGAGTGAAGCTCCGTGGACAGGCCCCCATTAAATGTGACGGGAAAGTGTTGGAGTGTAGATGTTCGGCAGTCCTCCAATGGCAGGTGTCAATGCCTGGTCACACTTACAAAAAAAAGATAGGCTGCTTGCCTGTTGACTGTGGTAAGTGAGAGGGAGGAACACGTAAAACACAAAGTATGAACAATGAAACTTTAATATATTTACTTTAAACATAAATGAAAATAAAGACAAATCTCGGGGGAATTAAAGTACAATTAAATAACAAAGATAAATGCAAAGACAATGTGTCACACAATAGTATAAAGGTAAAATTATAAAATGGTGCTGAGAATATCGGCTATGGCTGAAACCTCCCTTCGTATACAAGCCAGTAGCTTAGTATGCTTGAGAGAGATGTCAACTCTAAAAGCACAAAGAATATTCTGAAGTTGATAGCTGGTCAGGCTCAGACATCGACTCAGGTAGAGGGCGCTGAGGTGCGGTGTGCAGGTGCACGGTCGGCGAGTCACCAATCAGGAGCAGGCAAGCTGGTGAAGGGTAGTTAGCTGGTTTGATGACGAGCCGGCGTGTGGAGGGTGTGTGGAGTGGGGAGATCTTGGGTACGTTTTGCCTCCTTTTCAAAACGTTTTGTGGTACCGGTGACGTATCTTGAATGTAGCATCTTATACTTGTATTTTTGGCGTAACTTGAAGTAGGGAAGAGCAGGCTCAATCTCTCTTGAAAGAGATTATCGTCACAATATATATATAATAATAATAATATAATAATAATTTTATTTAGGTAAGGTACATACATAAAGAGATTTTACAAAGTTTGTTGGCTTTATAGACAGAGCTAGTACATACAATGCCTAAAGCCACTATTACGCAAAGCGTTTCGGGCAGAAACGAAATATGTCGTAACTAGTAGCCAGAATGCACTTCTCGGCCTAGAATGCAAGGGCCGTTTTGCCTAATAGGCTGAGTGATTTTCTATTTTTTCAATAATATGTTTCCAATTAGTTTATTTGAATCATTAATATTATATTTTATTAAGAACATAAATAATTGACTTAGTAGTGTTAGTTTAGGTTCGGTTAAGGTAGGTTAGGTTAGGTTAGGTAGGGTTGGTTAGGTTCGGGAATATATTTACGTTAGTTTTAACTCCAATAAAATACAATTTACTCATACATAGTGAAATTAATAACTTTATCATTTCATAAAGAAAAAAACTAGAAAAATACATAAATTCAGGAAAACATGACTTATTAAGCAAATCACGTCTTGCATAGTAGGCCGAGTACTGAGTTTTGGCTACTAGGTACAACATATATATATATATATATATATATATATATATATATATATATGTCGTACCTAGTAGCCAGAACGCACTTCTCAGCCTACTATGCAAGGCCCGATTTGCCTAATAAGCCAAGTTTTCCTGAAATAATATATTTTCTCTAATTTTTTTCTTATGAAATGATAAAGCTACCCATTTCATTATGTATGAGGTCAATTTTCTTTATTGGCGTTAAAATTAACGTAGATATATGACCGAACCTAACCAACCCTACCTAACCAAACCTATCTTTATAGGTTAGGTTAGGTTAGGTAGCCGAAAAAGTTAGGTTAGGTTAGGTTAGGTAGGTTAGGTTGTCGAAATAACATTAATATATGAAAACTTGGCTTATTAGGCAAATCGGGCTTTGCATAGTAGGCTGAGAAGTGCGTTCTGGCTACTAGGTACGACATATATATATATATATATATATATATATATATATATATATATATATATATATATATATATATATATATATGTCGTACCTAGTAGCCAGAACTCACTTCTCAGCCTACTATTCAAGGCCAGATTTGCCTAGTAAGCCAAGTTTTCCTGAATTAATATATTTACTATAATTTTTTTCTTATGAAATGATAAAGCAACCCTTTTCTCTATGTATGAGGTCAATTTTATTTTATTGGAGTTAAAATTAACGTAGATATATGACCGAACCTAACCAACCCTACCTAACCTAACCTAACCTATATGTATAGGTAAGGTTAGGTTAGGTAGCCAAAAAAAGCTAGGTTAGGTTAGGTTAGGTAGGTTAGGTAGACGAAAAAACATTAATTCATGAAAACTTGGCTTATTAGGCAAATCGGGCCTTGAATAGTAGGCTGAGAAGTGCGTTCTGGCTATTAGGTACGACATATATATATATATATATATATATATATATATATATATATATATATATATATATATATATATATATATATATATATATATATATATAAATATATATATATATATATATATATATATATATATATATATATATATATATATATATATATATGTCGTACCTAGTAGCCAGAACGCACTTCTCAGCCTACTATGCAAGGCCCGATTTGCCTAATAAGCCAAGTTTTCATGAATTAATATATTTTCTCTAATTTTTTTCTTATGAAATGATAAAGCTACCCATTTCATTATGTATGAGGTCAATTTGTTTTTATTGGAGTTAAAATTAACGTAGATATATGACCGAACCTAACCAACCCTACCTAACCTAACCTAACCTATCTTTATAGGTTAGGTTAGGTTAGGTAGCCGAAAACGCTAGGTTAGGTTAGGTTAGGTAGGTTAGGTAGTCGAAAAACAATTAAATCATGAAAACTTGGCTTATTAGGCAAATCGGGCCTTGCATAGTAGGCTGAGAAGTGCGTTCTGGCTACTAGGTACGACATATATACATATATATATATATATTTTATATATATATATAATATATATATATATATATATATATATATATATATATATATGTATATATATATATAAATAAATATATATATATATATATATATATATATATATTTTATATCTATATATATATATAATATATATATATATATAATATATATATATATATATATATATATATGTCGTACCTAGTAGCCAGAACTCACTTCTCAGCCTACTATTCAAGGCCCGATTTGCCTAATAAGCCAAGTTTTCCTGAATTAATATATTTACTATAATTTTTTTCTTATGAAATGATAAAGCAACCCTTTTCTCTATGTATGAGGTCAATTTTTTTTTATTGGAGTTAAATTTTATGTAGATATATGACCGAACCTAACCAACCCTACCTAACCTAACCTAACCTATATTTATAGGTAAGGTTAGGTTAGGTAGCCAAAAAAAGCTAGGTTAGGTTAGGTTAGGTAGGTTAGGTAGACGAAAAAACATGAATTCATGAAAATTTGGCTTATTAGGCAAATCGGGCCTTGAATAGTAGGCTGAGAAGTGCGTTCTGGCTATTAGGTACGACATATATATATATATATATATATATATATATATATATATATATATATATATATATATATATATATATATATATATGTCGTACCTAGTAGCCAGAACTCACTTCTCAGCCTACTATGCAAGGCCCGATTTGCCTAATAAGCCAAGTTTTACTGAATTAATATATTTTCTCTAAATTTTTTCTTATGAAATGATAAAGCTACCCATTTCACTATGTATAAGGTCAATTTTTTTTTATTGGAGTTAAAATTAACGTAGATATATGACCGAACCTAACCAACCCTACCTAACCTAACCTAACCTATCTTTATAGGTTAGGTTAGGTTAGGTAGCCGAAAATGTTAGGTTAGGTTAGGTTAGGTAGGTTAGGTAGTCGAAAAAACATTAATTCATGAAAACTAGGCTTATTAGGCAAATCGGGCCTTGCATAGTAGGCTGAGAAGTGCGTTCTGGCTACTAGGTACGACATATATACATATATATATATATATATATATATATATATATATATATATATATATAATATATATATATATATATATATATATATATATATATATATATATGTATATATATATATATATATATACATATATATATATTATATATAATATATATATGATATATATACTTCCAGTTTCGATATATATGCGGAGCCTTACCGGTCTTTTGGCGACAACATAAATGGCTGCTTCACCGGAATGATCGGCCAGCTACAGCGAGAGGAGGCGGACTTCAGCACAATAGTGGCGGCCACGCAGGGACGCCTCAAGGTGGTCAAGTTCCTGTTGTCGTATCCTTCTGATGTCATGGCAATAACATCTCTGAAGCCTGCCCTCCTTCCTGCTTATCTCTCCATAATCAGACCTTTTTCTGGTGTGTAAACGAGGCCGAAGTATAATTAATGAAATGTAAGTATCTGAGATGTGTTGAACGCTTCATATATGCTATGTGCTCTATGTCTTCAAGGAGAGCTGTGGGTGGCGCTGCTGGTGAGCGTGGGGGCGTGGGGCATGAGCCTGTGGCTGGTGGAGAGGGCATGGCAGTGGGTGGCTGGCGGGCGTCCGGTGGACCTTATTACCTCCCTCTTGTACAGCTGGGGCGCCCTCCTCCAGAACCTGCCCTCGGAACCCTCCATCAACCTCTCTAGCCAGGTAGGAGTTTAAGGCTTCCATGGTAATGAGTACAGTAAATGGGTCCTAGTTTTTAACTTACTTTATACCTAAATCCTAGGAATAATGTTTGATTAATCAACAAAATTTAACCATGGCACAGATTAGAGGAAACACTCTTGTAAATATTTTCAGAACTATAATAATACTTGAAAAACTAATTTACAAAATCTTAATAGAAAAAAAATTGATATAGTGAATAAGATGATTCGAACTTTACTTGATAATGTATGTGATACCCGGCATTGCCCAGGTCTCTACCACACACCTCTCCCTCCACATGTGTACACACACCTTTCCTGTCTCTCTCTCACACACACACCATCTCCATGTTTCCAACGCATCCCATTTCTGTAACTTTCTCCTGCACATATACTCCCTGCTGACGCGCGTGTGCCCGCGCGCACACACACACACACACACACACACACACACACACACACACACACACACACACACACACACACACACACACACACACACACACACACACACACACACATATATATATATATACAGCATCAACATGGATTCAGGGATGGCAGGTCCTGCCTCACAGGGTTACTTGAATTCTACGACCAGGCAACAAAAATAAGGCAAGAAAGAGAAGGGTGGGCAGACTGCATATTTTTGGATTGTCAGAAAGCCTTTGACACAGTGCCACACAAGAGGCTAGTGAAAAAACTGGAGATGCAGGCTGGAGTGAAAGGGAAGGTACTCCGTTGGATACAAGAGTACCTAAGTAACAGGAGACAACGAGTCAGTGTGAGGGGTGAGGTCTCAGATTGGCGAGACGTTACGAGTGGAGTACCGCAGGGGTCAGTCCTTGGACCTATACTGTTTCTGATATATGTAAATGATCTTCCAGAGGGTATAGAATCGTTTCTCTCAATGTTTGCCGATGATGCAAAAATTATGAGGAGGATTGAAACTGAGGACGATAGTAGGAGGCTACAAGATGACCTAGACAGACTGAGTGAATGGTCCAACAAATGGCTGTTGAAGTTCAACCCGAGTAAATGCAAAGTAATGAAACTAGGTGGTGGAAATAGGAGGCCAAACACAGGATACAGAATAGGAGATGAAGTACTTAATGAAACGAACAGAGAGAAAGATCTAGGAGTTGATATCACACCAAACCTGTCTCCTGAAGCCCACATAAAAAGAATAACGTCTGCGGCATATGCGAGGCTGGCTAACATCAGAACAGCGTTCAGGAACCTGTGTAAGGAATCATTCAGAATCTTGTACACCACATATGTAAGACCAATCCTGGAGTATGCGGCCCCAGCATGGAGCCCGTACCTTGTCAAGCACAAGACGAAGCTGGAAAAAGTCCAAAGGTATGCCACTAGACTAGTCCCAGAACTAAGAGGCATGAGTTACGAGGAAAGGCTGCGGGAAATGCACCTTACGACACTGGAAGACAGAAGAGTAATGGGAGACATGATCACAACCTACAAAATCCTCAGAGGAATCGACCGGGTAAACAAGGATAAACTATTCAACACTGGTGGGACGCGAACAAGGGGACACAGGTGGAAACGGAGTACTCACATGAGCCACAGAGACGTTAGAAGGAACTTTTTTAGTGTCAGAGTAGTTAACGGATGGAATGCATTAGGCAGTGATGTGGTGGAGGCTGACTCCATACACAGTTTTAAATGTAGATATGATAGAGCCCAGTAGGCTCAGGAATCTGTACACCAGTTGATTGACAGTTGAGAGGCGGGACCAAAGAGCCAAAGCTCAACCCCCCGCAAGCACAAATAGGTGAGTACAAATAGGTGAGTACACACACACACACACACACACACACACACATAATAGAAAGAACTTTTTAGTGTCAGAGTGGGTAGACAAATGGAATGCATTAGGAAGTAATGAGGTGGAGGCTGACTCTATACACAGTTTCAAGTGTAGATATGAAAGAGCCCAGTAGGCTCAGGAACCTGTGCACCTGTTGATTGACGGTTGAGAGGCGGGACCAAAGAGCCAGAACTCAACCCCCACAAGCACAACTAGGTGAGTACAACTAGGTGAGTACACACACACACACACACAATGTGTGTGAAATGCTAAAAACGAACTTAGAAGCAATGTCCACAGTGAGGAAGGTAGCCATGAAAGTAGCCACTTCACAGGAAGCAGCAAGATCCACTAGTCAGATGCAGGAAAGAAAAAGACCAGTGGTAGCTGTGGGTATTTATGAGCAGGAAGGCTCCAATAGAACAGAATGGAATTATAAAGACAGAGCGGAAGTAAATGAAATACTAAAGGGGTTAGAGATGGAAGACGCAGAACATGGCATTGAGAAATTTGTTGTTGCTGGTACAACAAGGACAGAGACTGCATGTTAAAGAGTTAAAGATAGTGTTTGCAAACGAGACCACAAAGGAGAATATTCTAAGGAAGAGCCGCCTGCAATATTTGGGAGAATTTAAAAAAGTATTTCTCCAGAGGGACATGATGAGGGAGGAAAGGGCCATGGCGGCTGTAGCAAGGAAGAGGCGCAGGGCGAGAGGAGAAAACCTGCTCCCAACACAACATCACCAGAGGCGAGGGTGGAACCCACAACCAGCAACCCAGTAACACCAGAGGGGAGGGCAACTCCAACACCCTCCTCTGCATAGAAACCGCCCATACCCCGAACCCTTCCTGCCCCCACTTAAATGCTTAGCCAACACTCCCTCCCCCCCTCACCCCATTCCCACCCTGCTACCCCTCCCCTTCACACCTATTCCCACTCTGCTACCCCCTCCCCTACTGCCACCGTGTCCCCCCTTCCCTTATTCCCTCCCTGTCCTCCCTCCCCTTTCATTCCATACTCTTCCTGTCCCCCCTTCACTTGAATCCCCCACCCCTCACTCCAGTATCCTCTGAGACCCTGTTATCCACCTCACAAATCCTCACACCCGTGGAACAGCTTCCCCCATCAGCAGAATGCTCATCAAGAAGGGGACATGAGAAGGGATAGAAGAATGTGAGTCTCAAGGCAATATACACTAACATAGATGGGATTACAAATAAAATAAATGAACTTGGATAATGAGTACTAGAAGAAAACCCAGACATAATAGCACTCACAGAAACAAAGCTGACAAAAACCACAACAAATGCAGTATTTCCACAGGACTACTGTGATGTGAAGAAAGAGAGAGAAGGAAGAAGGAAGAAGAGGTTTTGATGTACCTCTGCTGGTAAGAAAAGGCGGGGGTTTTGAGGAGATGGTTATTGAGGGCTGTGAAATTTCATTGACAACATAACATATACCATAGCAACTGGAGGACAAACAATTATAGTCGAAATCATATATAATCCACCACCAAATGACAAAAGACGCAGGCAGGAATATGATAGAAACAGCATGGCCACCATTAAAATAATAGAGAAAGCAGCTTCTGTCGCCAGCAGGAATGGATCTGGACTAATAATCATGCGAAAATTCAACCACGGAGAGATAGATTGGGAAAACAGAAACCCGCATGGAGGACCAGATACACGGAGAACTAAGCTGCTGGACGTGGCAACACGAAACTTTCTAAGCCAACATATCAAGGGACCGACAAGACTGAGAGGGGAGGATGAACCAGCTATGCTTGATCTGATATTTACCCTCAATGAGTGGGATATAAGGGAAGTTAAGATGGAAGCACCCTTGAGAATGAGTGATCACAGTCTATTGATCTTTGAGTACTTTGTAGAGCTAGGCCTTATCACCCCAAAAAAAGAACTAGATAACAAAAGGCTGGCATACCGAAAGAGGAATTATGGGAGGATGAGAAGTTTCCTAATGGATATACCATGGGACACAGACCTCAGAGCTAAGTGTGTACAAGACATGATGGACTATGTCACTCAAAAGTGTCAGGAGGCAATAAACAGGTTTATCGCGGCCCAAAGAGAAAAATCCAAGAAGCAAAAGAAGAATCCATGGTTTAACAGGGCATGAATGGAAGCAAAGGTACTGAACGAAAGGGCGTGGAGGAACTTCCGAAATAACAGAACACCAGAAAGCAGAGAGAGATACCAGAGAACCAGGAATGAGCATGTTAGTGTGAGAAGGGAAGCAGAGAAAAATTATGAAAATGATATAGCAAGCAAAGCCACGACCGATCCAAAGCTACTCCACAATCACATCAGGAGGAAAACAACAGTAAAAGAACAGGTAATGAAACTTAAAACAGGCGAGCACAGGTATACAGAGAATGACAGAGAGGTGTTTCAGGAACTCAACAAGAAGTTCCAGGAGGTCTTCACAATAGAACAGGGTGAGGTCACTGTGCTAGGAGAGGGGGCAGTAAACCAGACGGCGTTGGAAGAGTTCAAAATTACGAAAGATGAGAACAAGAGACACCTGTTGGATCTAGATGTGAGAAAGGCTGTTGTCCAGACGGGATCTCACCATAGGTATTGAAAGAATAAGCAGAGGCACTCTGCTTGCCACTCTCCATAGTGTATAGTAGGTCACTGGAGACGGGAGACCTACCAGAAATATGGAAGGTGGATAATGTGGCCCCAATATATAAAAAGGCTGACAAACAAGAGGCACTGAACTACAGGCCAGTGTCCTTAACTTGTATACCATGCAAGGTGATGGAGAAGATCGTGAGAAAAAATCTAGTAACACATCTGGAGAGAAGGGACTTCGTGACGAATCGCCAACATGGGTTCAAGGAGGGTAAATCTTGCCTTACTGGCTTAATAGAATTCTACGATCAGGTGACAAAGATTAAGCAAGAAAGAGAAGGCTGGACAAACTGAATTTTTTGGGAGTGGCGGAAAGCCTTTGATACAGTCCCCCATACGAGGCTGGTACATAAGCTGGAAAGACAGGCAGGAGTTACTGGTAAAGTGCTCCAATGGATAAGGGAATACCTAAGCAATAGGAAGCAAAGAGTTACAGTGAGGGGTGAGACCTCAGATTGGCGTGAAGTCACCAGTGGAGTCCCACAGGGCTCTGTACTCGGTATTATCCTGTTTCTGATATACGTGAATGATCTCCCGGAGGGGTATAGACTCATTCCTCTCAATGTTTGCTGAAGATGCCAAAATTACGAGAAGGATTAAGACAGAGAAGGACTGCTTGAGGCTTCAAGAAGATCTAGACAAACTAAAGGAATGGTCGAGCAAATGGTTGTTAGAGTTTAACCCAAGCAAATGTAATGTAATGAAGATAGCTGTAGGGAGCAGGAGGCCAGTTACAAGGTATCATTTGGGAGATGAAATTCTACACGAGTCAGAGAGAGAGAAAGACCTGGAGGTAGATATCTCGCCATACCTGTCCCCTGAAGCCCATATCAAGAGGATAACATCAGCAGCATATGCCAGGTTGGCTAACATAAGAACGGCATTTAGACACTTGTGCAAGGAATCATTCAGAACTTTGTATACCACCTTTGTTAGACCAATCCTGGAGTATGTGGCACCAGCATTGAGTCCATATCTAGTCAAGCATAAGACCAAACTGGAAAAAGTTCCAAGGTTATCCACCAGACTAGTACCCGGGCTGAGAGGTATGAGCTACGAGGAGAGACTACGGGAATTTAACGTCACGTCGCTAGAAGACAAAAGAGTTAGGGGGGATATGATCACCACGTACAAGATTCTCAGAGGAATTGACAGGGTAGATAAAGACGGGCTATTTAACACAAGGGGCACACGCACTAGGGGACACTGGTGGAAACTGAGTGCCCAAATGAGCCACAGAGATATCAGAAAGAATTTTTTTAGTATCAGAGTTGTTGACAAATGGAATGCATTAGGCAGTGATGTGGTGGAGGCTGACTCCATGCACAGTTTCAAGTGTAGATATGATAGAGGCCAATAGGTTCAAGAACCTGTACACCAGTTTATTGACAGTTGAAAGGCGGGACCAAAGAGCCAGAGCTCAACCCCCACAAGCACAAATAAGTGAGTACACACACACACACACACACACACACACACACACACACACACACACACACACACACACACAATACACTCACCTTCGCCATCTAACCATTCCTGTGTCCTCCTTGCTTTAAACTCTTTTGATACTCATTATCTCCAGTTATCTAACCTAATGATTGTGCCCACAAACCAAATCTGTCTTCTGATCATAAGTTTTTAAAACTCAATACCTGAATTCATTATGTTTTAAACTAAAGCTAAAGTCTATGGAAAAAGGACTTCCAGAGTCTGCTCGGAGGACTGATATTGGGGTCATTTCCATTTGCTGAGGCACTGAGCCAACCCACTTATGACTCTCCTTATAATTATGATTAATCATGCAAGGTTAAATGAGGCTGAAGCATCTAGCGTCCAACTTCCAACACACAAACACATAGACATTGATTCTCTCCTGTAGATATAGATTTATTTTTCAAACATGTTTTTGCCTCTTAACTTTTCACTGCTTCACATTTTCATATGATTATATTTGTATATATTTTATAATACTGAAACTCTGTTTCGCAAGGAGGTGACTAATAATATTAGTACCCTGCGGGCAGATGTTGGTGGGATGGTGGCTTGTGTTCTGCTTGGTCATCAGTACGGGGTTCAGTTCCTCGCTAGTAGCTCATTTGACCGTCCAGCGCAAGTCACCGACTGTGGACAGCTTCCAGGACCTGGTTCACCTGGGTAACTGGAAGTGGGGCACTGAGCCCTGGCTGTACAACGGTGCTGCTTATGAGTACTTCGCTAAACATACTGACCCCGTGGTTACCAAGATATACAGGAACATGGAGGTAAGTGCATGCTTATAGAGCTTTATAATTAAATTCTTGCTAGACTTATAGTTGAAATAGATGGCTTTTCTGCATTATATTTCATTTACAAATATAAATATAAACAAAAACTCCAGAATAATAACAAAATATTTTAATTAAACCACTTATTTACCTTTGTAACTGCACCAAAACACATAAAAAATTAATGAAGCAGAATTCGTTCTTTCTCCTATAAATAGGAGCCATTCACTTTATGTACAATAACACTAATCCACCCGTTTGCCAGACTAATCTTTAGCTCCCTCTTGCTCAGGTAATGGTAGCTGATGACGCCCTGAGGAGAGTCCTGGCGGGCAGGTTCTCTCTAATAGACTTCAAGAACTACATCAGCGTCATTGTGGCCTCCAGGTACACCGACTCTTTCGGCAACACTCCATTTTACATCAGTAATCAAGGAATCTCCGTCATAGCTGCTTTTGGCTGGGGGCTCAGGTGAGTTGCTATACACAATTCCTGTTTGATTATGGATATTTACTTACAGATTTATTAAATTTTTTCTAGCAACTATGAAGATAAAAATACGAATACTAATAATAACAATGTTAAAAACTACTTATTAAAAAGCAACTATGTTTTAGAGGAGATGGTACATATGCCATAGTCTTTTATATTGTTGGATAATTAATTGGATCTGGCATATAGGACCGGTTCATGGAAATCTTCAGCATCCCACTGAAGACCATTTATGTAACCCAAACCTCCAGGTTGTCGTGCACAATCAGTCGTCCAATGAGCTTATCTTAGAGGCGACAGTGCTCCAAGGAAGTGTCATGGAATCACTCCTGTAGAACATCTACTTTAGTGACCTTCTGGAGCTAATACTAGTCGCAGATGAATGTACAATAACTTTTTCCAGGAGACAATATAGAGGATGGAGATCACATCAATGAAACGGAAAACTATTTGATCACGAGAGACAACGGTGGCAAGTTACTGCTGCCTCTCATAAAGCCCAATTCATGGCAATTTCAATGATATATCGAATATATTATCCAACTCCCTAAGTGTCAAAACCTTCAGCTATTATGAACGTAATGTGCAAAATATGGATTGTTGTATACACCAAAAATGCTCACGTTTGTACTACGGGAGTACTATAAAGAACGCACCAAAAGGGAAAAGAATAACAATAATCTTAACTCACTTGTCTTAGACCTAAATTAACGATCTTAGGCTCAATATACACCATCTTAGGCCCAATTAGTGCATATATGAACTATTCTAGGTAAAGAAAGGTTTTTGTTTGGTTGATGCCTACTCTCTCATGGCCTGTACAAAATATATTATAAAAAACGTGGAAATTTTGGCTGCCACAGCCCATACTTTGCACTTACATCCTCAGTTGTAACAGGTAATATACTTTTTGATGATATGATGTGTCCTGTCATAAGATTTCAGAAGAAAATACTGATATACAACCAATCAGTTATCATGTTAGAAGTGGAACGTGACGCTAACTTGTTCTTCTCCAGACATGTGTACTATTGTTGAAGGCAATTGCACTATGAACCTAGCCTCCCTTTGGAGGATAACACCTCGACTAGATGAAAGACATGTTTAACACACTTCAACTCTTAAATAAGTCTTGTAATGGCGTGCTCATGACTAATTTGGGGTTTCTGTTCGCAGTGTTAAATGTTATTAGATACAAATGAAGATAAAGTTGCACATATAGTGAGAAGCAAAATTAACATACTTGACACAATACCGGACATTCACACTGTCTAACAGTCTGAACGTCCAGTATTCAGACACATTTCTGTCTGTCAGGCGGAGAAGAGAGGCATCTCTGTGTTTTGAAAAGAGTTCCAAAATTTTATATGTGCAATATGGCTTATCTAAAAGCCACTCCGTCATGAATAACCTGCGTAATAGGTGGTTTGATATAAGACAACCGAACAGTTCGTCCCTTTTGTACGAACTGAGCAAATTCAAAGTTCCTGTCACCCGAGCTTAACTTATGGAATGCATTTTGACAACACAGTGGAAACAAAAAAAACATTCTGATAAAGAATTTTAAGTTCATGTAATTGTTTGGGTAAATACTAAACACACACTATCATTCAATAAACATATAGAATCCTTGCATTGCTTAAGACAATTATACTGAAAAATGTAATTCTTACTTGCAAACATGAGAGTAAAATTTATTGGTGTGTAATAATAATAATAATAATAATAATAATAATAATAATAATAATAATCATGAGAAAATCCATAGGAGGCATGATGAAGGTTCGAACCTATGCGTTGTGTTCCCAGACACACGCCCTAGTCAACAAGGCCACGACATGGTAAAAAGGATAGAAACCTGGAGTTCTACTGAACACAAAAGGATTTTTCTCCGGCTTCCAGTGAAGCCAGATCAGGATGTCCACACAATCCCCTCCCCCTCCCTCCCCCCCATGCACTCTGGCTCTGTTATCCATTAAGGTTCTACCTTTGACTCTTATCTTTCACTACACAGAGAGTAATCTCACTAACGTGATGTATCAATGAGAAAATCCGTAGGAGCCGTGAAGAGTGTTCGAACTGTGGGAACCGACCTGTGAAATTTATATGTATTTAATTTATATGAATTTATATTGAATTTATATTTACGTTAATTTATATCTTTCGTTTGCAATTGGTATGATGTTAAGTGGACTGTATTTCTGCAATAATCTCACAAATCGATCCATACACATTAGGGGGGGGTTTATATTAAGTTTATATGTATACAGCCAATCAAACTACGGTATTAACTACATATATTAGTAAATAAATTGGAGGTGCCTTATCTTATTGTACAGTAGGCTTAGTCCACCAGGTATAACTAGGATGTAGACACCAAATTATCGTTTGAGGCTAGCTTCCATCACCCTGGCAACTGATATACCAAGCGTGCTTCCTCTTCTTGACCTGTCAAAGGGCATTAGCTATAAAGCCGGAATCCTAATATATGACAGCTATATCAGAGAAAACACTGTATATTATATATGATAAGGACCAAGGCTTAATTACCTTTTTAAGAGGCTCGTTCGCATCCTAACCGGTTCGCCCTTATCTAACTAATATTAACTGGCCAGAAATGATTAGATAAACGGGTTTCGGTAGGACACTTCCCTTGTTTATGTTGACAGCGTGTTGATGATGGTATAACAATTTGATCTCCATAACACTTTGTCAAAGAGAAATTATAGGAGCTGAATTTGCTCCCCTGCGCCTCTGGTCTTAACAAACAGTGGCTGACCTCTCCCTACTACTGACGCTCCTGGCTCACTTGTCCAATGTCAATAAGTGATAGAAGGGTCACATTTACTTTATTTTGATACTGATAATTAAGTTAATTCAAATGAGATGTTTTTATGATGGTAAAAGTCCAGAGACTAATGTATTTAAGAATAATTCCCAACAGAATAGCTGGTGAATTTATCGTACTATGTGGCAATGATATCCCGTTTTCTATTGTCGAAAAATTCCACTACATGCTACATTTTCTAAGGGTAACTTGCGTATACAACAGCAGCAGCTATTATCTGCAAATAGCATGTAATATTATTAAATGGTGTCGGGTTTTCCGACACGAACCTATGAGATGAGTGTTCCCACGCACACGCCCCAATATACAAGGCCACGACATGGTAAAAAGGTTGCAACCTGGAGTTCTACTGATCTTCTCATTGATGAAGTCAATGAGAAGTTTTTCACATTGATGCATTTCACCTGATTTCACCTTTACAGCTAGTGCTGGAATTAGATCCTCACCCCTGCTATTATTCAGGCAAACTTAGGCCGCTAGCAAAATGTAAAAATCTCAATCTAGTAACATTAAATTTAGCCAGCAAAATTGCAGCAATTTTCTACTCAAACTATACTAGATTTCTCCCATCAAATTAAATTTCACGAAAATTAATACACTCGCCACGACATCATCATAAACAGTCATACACTTGAAAATACATTAAAAATAATCATATAGTAAATGCTTCAAACAATAATAATAATAAAGGTACATTCTAACGTCAGCCTTAGGACACCCAAATTCAAGGGGGGGGGGGGGGGGTGAGATAGGTGACCAGCTCCTCGCTGTCATCGTCTGCGTCCTCGTCAAGTGTACTCACCTAATTGTGCTTGCGGGGGTTGAGCTCTGGCTCTTTGGTCCTGCCTCTAAACCGTCAATCAACTGGTGTACAGGTTCCTGAGCCTATTGGGCTCTATCATATCTATATTTGAAACTGTGTATGGAGCCAGCCTCCACTACATCACTTTCTAAAGCATTCCATTTGTCAACCACTCTGACACTAGAAAAGTTCTTTCTAATATCTCTATGACTCATTTGGGCACTCAGTTACCACCTGTGTCCCCTTGTGCGTGTGCCCCTTGTGTTAAATAGCCTGTCTTTATCTACCCTATCAATTCCCTTGAGAATCTTGAATGTGGTGATCATGTCTCCCCTAACTCTTCTGTCTTCCAACGAAGTGAGGTTTAATTCCCGTAGTCTCTCCTCATAGCTCATACCTCTCAGCTCGGGAACTAGTCTGGTGGCAAACCTTTGAACCTTTTCCAGTTTAGTCTTATCCTTGACTAGATATGGACTCCATGTTGGGGCTGCATACTCCAGGATTGGTCTGACATATATGGTATACAAAGTTCTGAATTATTCCTTACACAAGTTTCTGATTGCCGTTCTTATGTTGGCCAGCCTGGCATATGCCGCTGATGTTATCCTCTTGCTATGGGCTACAGGGGGGACAGGTCTGGCGTGATGTCAACCCCCAAGTCTTTTTCTCTCTCTGACTCTTGAAGAATTTCCTCTCCCAGATGATACCTAGTATCTGGCCTCCTGCTTCCTACACCTGTCTTCATTACATTACATTTGGTTGGGTTAAACTCTAACAACCATTTGTTCAACCATTCCTTCAGCTTGTCTAGGTCTTCTTGAAGCCTCAAGCAGTCCTCCTCTGTCTTAATCCTTCTCATAATTTTGGCATCGTCATGAAACATTGAGAGAAATGAATCTGTACCCTCCGGGAGATCATTTACATATATCAAAAACAAGATAGGACCGAGTACAGAGCCATGTGGGACTCCACTTGTGACTTCACGCCAATCTGAGGTCTCACCCTTCACCGTAACTCTCTGCTTCCAATTGCTTCGGTACTCCCTTATCCAATGGAACACCTTACCAGCTACACCTGCCTGTCTCTCCAGCTTATGTACCAGCCTCTTATGCGGTACTGTGTCAAAAGCTTTCCGACAATCCAAGAAAATGCAGTCCGCCCAGCCTTCTCTTTCTTGCTTAATCTTTGTCACCTGATCGCAGAATTCTATTAAACCAGTCAGACAAGATTTACCCTCCCTGAACCCATGTTGGCGATTTGTCACGAAGTCCCTTCTCTCTAGATGTGTTACCAGGTTTTTTCTCACGATCTTCTCCATCACCTTGTATG